ACATTCATTATAAAGAAAGTTTCAAAAGACAAAGAGAAAAATCTTCAAAACATCAGAAGTGACTTATCCCAGAGGAATGAATCTCAATAAAATTAACAGTTGAGCCTTCCTTCTTCCTTTCTTTTCTGTTCCTTCCCTTTCAGAAGATTCTTTCTATTTCACAGTATCTATTCTATCTTTCAGATTTTATTCACATTTTCAGGATCTTATACTAGTGAGGCAATATGATGCCTACACATGATTGTCTAATGCATTTCACATTATGAGTATAGCCTCTGGCTGGATCTTTACCTATAAAAGCATCAAGTTTATTTCTTCGTAGCTGAGTAGTACTCTTTGATTTTTGACACTTTCTTTATAATACAATAGTTTGTCTTTCTTTACAACTCAGTAACATTTTATAGTATAAAAAATACCATGATTTTTATTCATTCCTCAGTTGATGGGCACTTGATTTGTTCCCAAGACTTGGCTATGCCAGGCAAGCACTTATTCTACTGAGCCACAATGACAAATTATGCTGTAAGAAAAATGTCTTCCCTATAAAGTGTGCATGGGATAATAATACTGCTAATTTATATGAGTCTATTGATAATAACAGTTAATATTTGTGTCATTTTTTCTTTTCTGTTTTTTCACTAAATTTGCATACTTTTATATGGTTATCTGAACAACTAATTATAACACAACATCATGCAATTGGAATAATTGTTGAATTCCTATCATCTTGCTTAAAATGAAATTCTATGTCATTTCTAAAACTTTCTTATTATTTGGGTTCTTTTTAAATTTTTTTTTAAAAAGGCTTCTATGAAAATTTGACTTAAAAATCATTACCATAAGGGCCAAAATCATGAAACCTAAAGGCCAAATGCATTGGGTTGATGTACTTACAATGTAGGGGGGAAAGCTGTCAACCAAGGTTTCTATATCTAGAAAAGCTATTCTTCAAAACTAAACAGTAAAGCCAGGGTGGTAGATGCCTGTAATCCCAGGGCTCTGGTAGAATGAAGTTGGAGAACATCTGGTCTAGTCAAAGCAATTTACTGTAGTCCCTCACTATTTTGTGGTCTGATTTTATGGACTAATTGTCTCATGGATTTTCAAAACATATTAACTGAAAGAATGTTAAATCAAAATAAAATACACTGCTTACAGAATGTATCTCTTCAGCAGATGAATATAAATTGTAACATACAGCATACCTATGTTGTTAAAATTACATAAGTATACAAGATTAGAAAATTTTGATAAAATTAGAATTGTTTTTAAAAGTGTGGGAAAGGGTTACAAATATGGGAGCTGGCAAGGTAGCTCAGCTGACTAAATGTAATCTCTGGCTTAGACAAGCACAGGAAGTGGGGTTTGATCTCGGTCACCATATGCTGCACTGGCCCAGTGATCTTCTTTAACATAATCTGTAAATTTAAAAATGAAAATATTAAATGAAAAATATATTAGATCACACTTCAAGATGTAAAAGTTAATTATCAATAAGTGATGAACATCAGGTGATTTGTTGCTATTTAAAAATTACAATTTGAAAATAAATTTTAAAAAACAAAAACAAAAAATTGGGTAGGCCAGACAGCTCAGTGGTTGAAAGTGCCTACTTAGGCAGACTGTGCTGGACGAGGTTCAATCCCCAGCACCACAAGCTGTGCCTGAACCATCCGCAGGGTATGCTGAGAGGGCAACTGAAATGGGGCATGGTGGGTATCCCAGATGTTGGGAGGCTGAAAACAGGAGGATCACTATGAGTTCAATCTATGGTGAGACCCTGTAGACCCAATACTACGTGCATAATTTTTTTTAAAAAATGATAACATTGGGATTTCATTTGAGGGGGGATTTAGCACAGGCAATTAAATTACAGAATCATTAGAGAGAATGAAAGACACTAAAAGGAGTAAGGTGAGGTGAGTACAAGCTCAGGAACATTGGGACACAATAGAGGTGTTGAAGGAGCATGTTTGTTTTAGTAGAGAATCTTCTGAGTCCATGCTGTCTCCTTGTGAGGCCATGGCATGTAGTACAAGGCCACACTACTGCCATAGTGAATGCCAATGAACACTGAACTGACATGCTTCTTCCCTTTGATCTTTTCCCCTCATGATACTTTGGATTGAACCTTAGACCATTAACCTGAGTTACTTCTTCAGTCATACTTTAATTTTTATTTTGAGACAATGTTTCACTCAGTCACTGAATTGCCCAGGCTGGGCTCAAAATTGTTATCTTCCTGTCTCAGCCTCAAACAGTTTTGAGATTGTATGTTTTGTTATGTCTTGTGTCTAGTTGTCCACCCAAAGCCTCAGGCAGTCATGGATTGGTGACTTCTAGAGTTTGGAACTAACTCACGATCCACTGGGAGTTTGAGTCTTAGTACTGCTGGGTTTATGGGATTGATTGCTGTACCCAGCCTTGGGGTAGATAGTTTGAATGTAACATAAGGTAGACAAAGAGACAGACTTCCTCCCTGTTGCCACTATTGCTGCTACACCTCCCTCTTAACCTTCACTGCTGCCATGAAAGGCTGCTCTCTGCCATGGGCCCCTCTAAGCCAGCTGAGTATGGACTGAAACCTCCAGTAACTAATAGCTAGATAAACCTTTCCTTCCTTCATTTTGGATATCAGTTATTTGTCCCAGCAATAAAAGAAGAGTAGCTGAGATAGGCTTGAAGCAACACACAAGGCTCTTTACTTAAATGTTTTTTTTTAAGAACATATAATCTATATGTTATACAACTCATGTATTTAAATTGTATAATGTAATGTTTTTAATATATTCACTGAGTTGTGATTCTACCACCACCATAAGTTTTAGAAAATATAAAAAATAAAAATTATAACTTAAGAAATGAATCGCATGTTAAAGTTTTTAATAAAACTAGGTAACAAGTACTATGGTGATACTGACTGATCAGTTTCTAATGTGCTAAAACTATTTCACTTGCAGTGTTCAGTAAGAAAAATTAGAATAAGAAGAAAATTGAATGCTCTACACAGGATTATGTTAAGTGTTAAGCATGCTCACTACATAAGTTTCATAATCTGTGTTGGTGACTATGGAAATCCCTACATTTATTCCTCAAACACCTGCAAGTTGAAATTCCATTCAACCCAGCACTTGCCCTTTTGGTATCTTCTTGGGAACATTAAAGACACGTCATGATAGTGATACACATATATCCATGTTTATAGTAGCACAATTCATAACAGCTACACCTTGGATATAACCTAGATGTCCATCAAGAAGTGGATAAAAAAGTATGGTGTTTAAACTACATGAGTCATTGGTAGAAAAGTGGATGCACTCTGAGACCATAAGTTTAGTGAAATAAGCTATTCACACAAGCTTAAATATCACATGATTTCTCTCATGTAAGAAACCTAAAGTAGAAGTAAATTAAAGAGCAAAATGAAAGATAAATAGGGCAAAAAGATAGATTTTCTCATACAGAAACATGACTAAGTGATGGAAGTAACTGAAATAGGGGCAGGAAGAGGACTAATAAGAAATAAGGTTCATTCATGAACTCCCCACAATAAATAGATCATTATGTAATATTAGCAAAAACCAATAACTTTTCTATTCTTCTGGGTAAATGGACAAATAAGCACTATTTTTTATCTTTTGAATATTCAAAGTGAATACATATCATATATATCAGAAAAACGGATTTATTTTTAAATTCCTTACTAGTAGGGTAGTTCAGTTAAAAACATGTAGGGCTTTCATAAATGTCAATGATATTCGATTTATAAGGAAGACTTTTTTTAAGGAAGGGTCTGCAGGGTGTTCAGGATATCATTCTATATCAGACTCCTTGTGATTCTCTGGTTTACAGCCCCCAAGAGCTGGTATAAGAAGTGTGCAACACCATTCGCAGTCTCAATTGCTGTCTCAGCACACCCTAGTGGTGGGGCCAGCACAGCAGGGCCAGGGATCAAACCCGTGGTCCCTGCATCTGCTTGCAGGTGCTTTAATCCACTGAGCTATTTGGCCAGCCCTTACAAGGAAGATATTAACAATGGGTTTTTATATTTTCAAGTGGAATAGGGCTTATAGAAAACAATGTAAAATATAGACACTTAAAGAGGAGCTTAAATCACCAGAATCTAGATAATTAGAGGCTCAGCTGTCCACCAAGCAACATGGATTCAAACGATTCAGTCCCTGGCTCAAGTGAGAACCACTATGGCAGAAAGGCTTCAGTGAACAAGAAACACACTTCCTACAGCCCAGGAAGCAGAGCACAGAAGAGCCCTAAAGACAAGACTTCAGTTCACAGGTATACACCCCAAATGCCTCCACTCCTATTTCAGGTGGTTCTAGTGGGATCCATAAAGACTACCCAGAGCAGTGGGTGTATCCTATGCCAACTCACAAATTGAACTCCTAGAGTCCACAGCAATGTGCTAATTTGGACCAATAAATGCCACATGCACAAACTTTGTTTTAAAATACAGAGAAGAGAGATAAATTCAATCATATTGAATATTCATATTAAAATAAGAGGTATTAAGGACACTGGGGGAATCAGGCTATAATGATACAAGAGTCATCAGGTAGGTTTAGTACACAGTGGTCATGCTTTGTTATTGTTTAGTACATTGCCTCACCACGTCCTTGGTGAAATTGAGTTGGAATGATAATTTCTCCTGCATCAGATGGTCAGCTCTCTCTCCAACAGGCTTGCTCCTAGCATGACAAAAGAGCCTAATGCTCATCTTCTGCACAGTCTTTACTGATGGCCTTAAATCCTTGTACTTTTAATTCTGTCACTGGGAACCTAGGTTTCTGATACTGTACTGGCTAATACCACATCCTCTAGTCCCCATGTTATTCACATGAGTTAGACATGTGGGCCGGAACAGATGATTTCTTCTGAATCACCGAAAGTCACTGTATAATTCTCAAATAACCACATAGAAGATGTCATCAGGGGAGGTACTAGGAAATGGGCACTTTCTCTGAAAGCCTCCCAGGATGTAGACTCAGAAAAATTAGAAGGAAACATAAGGTTTTGAGCTGACTCCTCCTCCTTCCTATGTTAGGGGATAAAAAACAGAAAGAACACAGATTCAGAAGCTCATCCTCTTGAGAAGATGCAGCTACTCCTGCTCCTGTTGGCCTTCTCTCTACCCCACAAGACAAGGGCAGGTAAGTTACCATCTCCACCCTAGAGAAACCCAAACCAATTCTAAAGAGGATATTGGTGCTCTGCCCCTCTGCACAGCCCAGAACTTTGTGTCTACATGGATTTCTCTGAACCTGACCCCCAATCCCACAAGAAAACCCAAATTATGACACCCAGTAGGTTACCAAGACTGTACTCAACAAGACCTAGGGGACACTATCCTCTCTCCAGGCCCAGCCTTTGTCATCTGGGAAGTGGCTCTTTCCTCAAAGTGCATGCAAATGGTGAGAAGTTACAGGAGAAAATGTCAAATACCCTGGTACAGGGTGGAATAGGCCTGTCTTTCATGTCTGGGTGGAGGGAGGTAGAGCCCTCATTAGTTGCTCAGCAGAGATGCCTATAGCTAAGAGACCAGAATGCATAGAATTACTGTCCTCAGCACACTAATTTTGCCTTTCCTCAGTGCTAGTCCCTTTCCTCAACTCTGCTTTAACATGTATCACTGCTTCACCTGCTTTCCATATGAGCCACAGACATAGACTCTATCTTCCCTGCCTCCAAGAGTGCCACCAGCAATGTCCTAAGAGCTTTCATCCAGAGACAGCCCAGAGCTTCTCCCTCACATACCAATCAACAGTTCTAAGACATATACCACATGTCAGGTCCTATAAAATAGGAACATACAACATCTAGGTTACACTGGAAGTACAATGCATAACACAAGAATTGAATTAGGGACAATTGCTTATATAATATTTTTATTCTCTCTTCAAACTAGATTTATTTTTTCTAAATCCACATATTTATTTTTTGCAATGAGATCATCATTTATTTATAATTTAATACTTTGTAAAATAATTTCATTAAGAAAGAATTAGCAATGAGAGAATTTCAAAACAGGTTAGTAGGCAGTTACAATAATTAATATATTGTATAGGCCTGAGAGGAATGGACTGACCTTGTAAGACACAAAAGTTACATTTTTTGTTATGTACATCTTGTTTTATCATGGTCTTAACAAGGTTAAAAAAGTAAAGCCATGTTAATATGCTGAGGTGTAAAAAGCTCAAGTCAACAACTTCTGACATTGCCAGTTATGCAGATAACCGACTAGTATTATAGACTACTGGACTATATTGAATTACTTTTCAAACTCAATTTGTAAAGCATAAAAATGAGAAAAAATAAGTTTTAATTAAAGGAAGAATTAATGTTTAATTGTTTGATAATTCTTACAGGCTTATATCTGATAATCTCAGAAACAAATTTCATGATTACAATATGTAATGTAAAACCATTCTTAATTTCCAGTTCTTGTTTTGGAATTCTGTATCATTTTTATTGTTTTATGTTGCTTTGTTTTTGTTTTTGTTCTTTTTAACTTCTTTTTCTTTCTCTACTCTTTAAAATAAATTTTTTTGAAAATAAAGAAAAGTCAGGAGGGGAATCATGAAAAGCCTGTGGGATTTTATTGTTCCCAGACAGTTAAACTCATCTCCAACTGCATAGAGAAAAAAATTTCTGAGACCAAGATCTGATTTCCCTTCCTATGCAGAAAAATCTGAGGCACCTCCCTTCAGGGTGCTCCCAACTGCATTGGATCCCATGTGTCGAAATGCTGAGTAGTTCTGGAGCCACCGTGTAGAAGCTCAAGTAGTGCTCAGTGGCTGCACACAAACTCATTTTTCTTCCAGGGGAGATCATTGGAGGACATGAAGCCAAACCCCACTCCCGTCCCTACATGGCCTTTATTGAATTCTTGTACACTACCTTTAGAAAACCGTGTGGTGGCTTCCTGATACATGAGAAGTTTGTGTTGACAGCTGCTCACTGTTTCAAGAGGTAAGGAACAAAAAAACTGCCCGCAGTCTCCTGGAAATGCTTCTCAGAGACACTTGCTCTCAAGGAGCTCACTGAGCACCTGGAAGCACATAAGCAGGAGCCTCCCTTGACAGTGAGAAAGGACAACAATGACCCCAGGAGAGACAAGTTAGATGGCACACCTATATTAAGACCTAGGAACAAGCCTTCACATAACAATGCAAAGTAAAGCAGTTTTATATTTTCATGGAAGTAACTGACTCCTTAGAACTTCTGACATCCTGGGTCCAAGATTGCATCCTGTGTTACTAAGAAGCACATGGCATAATCACACAGTCAGTTGGCACTTCTGTCATGTGGATCACAACGTGTACTGGCTGTAGCCTACTACCTACAGCCCTGGGGATGGGTCCAAGTGTGCTCCACATTCCTTAACTCACTATACTCTCTGTGCAGAAATCCGGAGTCACAGATCATAGAAATACTTGTTGTGCTGGGAGCACACAACATCACAAAACAAGAGAAGACTCAGCAGTACATACGTGTGCAAAAATGCATTCCACACCCACAATTCAATCTTGAAACACTCACCAATGATATCATGCTGCTGCAGGTAAGGCACCGCTCCCTGCTTCTCTTGCACTCCTCGTGCACTCCTCCCACTAAGTCTCTGCACCTTACCTTTTGCCATCATGTTCACCGCTGTTCAGGCCCAGAAGACAAAGGCTGATCTGGAGTCTTACTTCTTTTCCATCAGCTGAAGGGAAAGGCCATGCTGACTGAAGCGGTGCAGATTCTACAGCTGCCTAGCAGAAAATCCCAGGTGTTGCCAGGCACCATGTGCCAGGTGGCTGGATGGGGAATGATGGACCAAAATAAGAAATTGGCTAGCACACTGCAGGAAGTGGAGATGACAGTACAAGACGATAAGGAGTGTGAAATCCGCTATCCCAATTACAACAGTGCTACTCAGATGTGTGCTGGGGACCCAAAAATTCAAAAAACCTCCTTTTTGGTAAGAATGGACAACTCACACTCATGGCTTTGAGGTAAAGAGTATTTGGGAAAGACGTAAGACTAGGAGACCAAAACATCGGGGTTCCTCAGCTAGTAGGTTGTGATATTTCTGTCAGAACAGAGGAAAAGGGATTAACCTGAGGTGAGAGGTAACTGAGACTCATACCACTTTATGAAGTGGCCTCTGAGAAGTGAATAGTTCCCCTCTGGAATCATCAAATTGCAACATGCTGCCTGAGTTCATTCACATCCCAGGCATTAGAAACCATTTCCTGAATGTGCAATAATTGTACATAGTTGATTTCTCAGAGCCATCTGACTTTCATGGTCAATGGGCTTTTCCTCCCTGATCAAATCTGACCTATTCATCTGTTTTTATATTCTTAAACTGTTGCCAGAAACCAATGGACCATCCTGTGTCTCATCTCTCATCAGAAGACTAGGAATAGTATTTTCAAAGGGGTTTGAGATATTTGAAGGGACAAGTACAGGAAGTGCGTTGCCTCACAGCCTCACTCTCTATTTACAGTGTGACTCCGGAGGGCCCTTCCTGTGTAATAATGTGGTTCACGCCATTGACTGCTCTGGAAGCAGCGATGGGAAACCTCCAAGTATCTACACCAAACTATCACCTTATCTAGATTGGATAGAGAAAACCATAAAACATCTCTTATTGTAGGGAGCAAATGAAACCCCATCTCTGAGCAACCATCGTTCCTGAGCCTGAGATGATAATAGCTCTACAGCAGACACCAGCAACAAAATAAATATCTCATCACAGTAAGAAGTTTAGTTTTGTTTCTTCATTTGCTTTCCTTCACAGAGACCAACTCCATGCTAAACAAGGCAGTAAAACAATTGCATAGATTTCAGCCTCATAACTTCCTGCTGCCCTTACTGCCTACAAATCCCCACTCTAAGCTAATAACTAGTTCCCTCTAACCTGCTTTAATTTCCACACATCTTTCCCTTTTACAAGGATAAAACCTAAGCAACATCAGAAAAAAATTGCATAGTACTTCTCCTGGGTCTCAGGGTGAACATATTCACTTAATGTGTCGCATGGCAGAGGGAAAGGTGGAGAATTTCATAGCTGTTTCAGACCTGTAAGACACCTCTAAGTTTACCACTTAGTTCAATCATACTGAGTGGAAGGGGCTCTTGCTGAGCAGGACATTTCTCTCATACAGTTTTAGTGATAAGAGGCTGTGGAACATATCCTGAGGGAGTCTTCATTCTCACCTGAAATTTGTTTCCTTCTGATTTCTCCTCTAAGAACCAGACTAACCTACCCTATAGTCACTAGGGTGCCCATTATATTTCATTACCTCTCATAGTTGTCACAGCTAACCAACTCCTATCCTCATTAGGCCACCAGGATCTAATGTTGTTCCTACCTCAAATCCATCATATATCACATCCATTATCACATGTGGTTCGATGCAAGGTACATGGATGGCAAAGCCAGTCTGATTAGAACCCATGGCCCCAACTCTCATTTGGCAGTGCCCCTCACTCCTTTGAACCTCTATATGCTCAAAGGCCTTTATCACTGAGCCACTTATCCCCTTTTACCCTTTCCCTGTTGATTACCATTGGCCTAAAAAATAAAAGTCCCTGGGCACACATGGGATACACTAGTCTTTTAACTTATAAAGTATTCCTCTCTGCAGAATTCCTGGTAAACATACTTGTTTCCATCAATAAGCAAACAAGTCCTTCCTGAGTGCATACGAACTGCCTGGTCTTAAGGATCGATACAGAACATAGTAACAAAGGCCTATGAAACTGGAAGTGGCATAAACATTCCAAAGTTGGAGGACAAGCCTGTTCTCCATATTGTGCCATAAGGCCTGGATCTATGTTAGAAATTATGGAAATAAAACACCTTAGTTTTTTCTTGTTTGAAGATTTGACCAATATTGTCACATAACACTTCAGAAGTGCATGATATATACAAATTACATCATGATGTTGCAGGTCAGTCACACATTCCTATTGCTCTTGCAATTCTAATGCAGGGTCACACCTTCCTGTGGGAAGTGCTCTATCCCTCTTTGTCACTTTGGGCATCACAATATTCAGGCCCAAAAAGCATAGGGTCTCTTCCATAAGCTAATTTGGACTCTCTTACCATTTCCCCATTAGCTAAAGAGAAAGCCAAGCAGAGCAAAGCTGTGCAGCACCTTAGAGTTCATGAGGACATGACACAGGTGAACCCAGGGGACTCATGGCCAGCTGGAAGAGAATGAACTGTGAGGCTCTAGAGCAACTACACTGCAGGTCAGCTGACTGTGCCAGATGAACAAAAATATACTACAAAAACAGAATCCAGTGGAGGAGGAACTCAGTAAGGGGTGTTAGTATACTACTCTATAGGCCTAGATTGGATGTATTGCTCACAGACCAAATTATATGATTACAGAGCATATAGTAATTTAGCTAGCAACCAGTTTTCTTTCTCTTCTCATCTGGGAAAACACAAAAGTCCAGTTTTTCATTCCCTACCAGTTTTTATACAGCTTCTTTTTTTGCTATAGCAATTGGGCAGGAATGTGGTTTGCCCTATATCCTACAGGTATGACATATCAGGCAGAGGGATTTATGCTAAGCATGGGCAAATGATCTGATTCCTATTGCTCTTAATTGGTCCTATATCCTCATCTCCTACCTGTTTGCAAAGATTTGGCAGGGCTGGAGAAGGAGTAGGGAATTGAGCAATTTAGGCAAGGAAAAGAAAATGTGGTCTGGACCAGATGTCTCCTATGTAAATACTTCAGACAGGGGTCAAGATAAACTGGATTCTGCTTCAGTCTCTTCTACATGTAAGGTAAATAATATATTATACTAGATGCTATCCCTTTTATTCTCCCCTCTAAGGAATATTTTTCATTCTAAGAAATATAATGTCTATTTCAAGATGGCAGCTTATCCTTTATTTTGTAACCAGTGTTATCCCTCATTTGCATTAGATTGGCCTTTTGAATCATGCTCAATATGCAGGTCATTATCGAATTGAACAGATAGGACCCTGAAGAGAACATGTCTAGCAGGGTAATTATTGGTTTGGTTACTCCTGTTAAGAGAGAGGTTAACATGAGTCTCCAGTTAAACAGGGAATCATACCACTTGGGGCCATCATAGTCATTATACCATCATTTTCTTTCTTCAGCATCATGGTCTAGGTTTTCTAAATTCTCCAAGATGACCCTTTAGTTGTTGTCATTGGAACAGCACTCTTCTCCTAAGGCTGCACAGAGTCCTCCATGTTTCATGAACACCAAATTAAGCCTACTTCTGTTTTGTAACACTACTTTTGCTAAAGAATTTATCTGCTCATATATCTGTTTTATCACAGCTTGGACTCCAGTCACATTTTGGTCTATACTGTAAGTTTTCCTGTGAAGTCAGTGGAGGCCAGTCTCTGAATGGTCTACAGCCCCTACCCCTGTGTCCAAGCTTCCTACTAAAGATACCCTGGTTAAAACTTGCACTAACAGAGGGGTTACCCGTTGTACATGTGTGTGCCTTTCATGCATGAATATGTCAGAGAATAGATATCTGTATTTCAGTTCCCCTCTGATGAGCTGTACTCAGGAAATCAACATAGTTAGCAGAAAAGTGCCCATCCCAGTTAAACTCTGGCTATGATCCAGATACTTAGGTACTCCATTTGTGTAGAAAAACCATGTCACTCTGACAGACTGGAAGGTGAGGTTTTGTGAAGCTATCTGACTGCAAATAACCTGATTCTCTTCTTGTCACACACAAAATCTTTTTGTTTACACTGATTCTACTATGCACAGAAACAACATATTTTCCCCTTCCAAGGAGCATAAGCATTGAGTGCCTGTTATAAGCTCTGAATAGGATAAAGCCTCATAAAAGAGTTGGCTTGACCATATAAAGATCCAGCAGGCTTTTACTGACTGAGGGCTAGACAATTTTAGCAAATAACGGATTACACTGAGCAGCCAAGTAGATTTCATACTTAGCTCCTGTGATGCCCGTCTCTCTTTTGGAGGGAGTGGGTCTTCTCTTCCTTGGTTCTCCTGCTGAATATGGCTTATGTTGACCCGCATTTCAGATGACTATCAGTAAGGTGTATTTTATACCGTGTAGTTCTCAAGTCAAAGCTGGCAAAGGGACCACTAACTTTCAAAAGATTGCTTCTACCTTGTTGAACTTGACGAATATTCCTGGATCATATACTGGGACTGTATCAAGATGCATGCAACCTTGCTACCAAAATCTGGTACACCAAAGTGGGTCATCAACATTTTTTTAACAATCCTAACCTGTGTGCAAAACCTGTCTGAGTGTACAGTGCAACAACCACGAAATTTTTTCTGGTACATTGATTATGTGCATCATTTTGTATCCACCCACTGATTAGGGGATTCAAATCTCTCTGAAAATTTTCTTTGAAAACCTCTTTTAAGCCTGATTGTCTCACAATTACAAAGTGGGCAATATGCCTCTCTTTCTTTATCACAATACTCTCCCATGCTCGACTTCAAGCAGGTCAGATTTTTACCTTCATGTGTGTGGAAGTATGGATTGATTGCCCACTTTTGAATCCAATGGGCAGAGAAGGAATGTTTTACTAGGTCAATCTTTTCCTTCCATACTCTAGGTTCCAGAATTTACATATCAGAACAAAAATACTACAATATGATGAGCATAAGGGAGGTGCAAAGAGGCAAGCCTGACCTGCCTGAGTCTGATAGCATCCATGCATTGTTGCTCAAGATTTTCATTGCACAGGTGTTCTCCTGGAGTCCCTGAGCAACAATCCCACAGTAACTGCTCAGATCAATATAGCCTCAATAAGCAGGTTCAGTTTGCCAATTCGGATGGAGCAATTTTGCCTGACTTATTCAGGCAATCAAGGTTGGCAAAGTCTGGGGGAAGGCTCAGCTAGTGGAACCTCAGCTACCCATGTTTTCTCTTACGAGTGATGAATCCATAGCCTCCAACTTGTAATTTTAAAACAGGTGGGTGTAGTGAGGATGACATCATGTAGCCCTTCCTATATGTTCTTGAGGGTCTTTTTCCTCCAGCTTTTGATTACAACCTGGGCTCCCAGTTCAAAAATGTGTATAAGGTTATGAACGGGGAGTGGATGACATTCTGATATAGTTTTCTGTAATCCCTTCAAAGACCTTTACAAGACCTGAAGTTATTATTGCAGGGTCAGGATCCTAATCTCTCATGGTCCCTTAAATATAGGCCTCAAGGGTGGTAGTCTTCCAAAAAAGATTTCAAAAAGAGTCAGCCCATCCCAGTATGGGGTGCAACGTGACCACAGCAGGGCCAACAGAAGCATATAAACTCAGGTTGCATCTGTCTCCTGGATTAGCTTAGACTAGGTCATCTTCAAGGTATAATTTTGTCATTCTACTTGATCTGTACACTAGACTCAGTTAGCAGTAAGTAGCTTCCACATCAGGCACAGAACATTGGAAATGCTCTGAACTACTCTACCCCAAAAGCAGTTCCATTATCTGATTCCACCATCATGGGGAGCCCGTACAAGAAGATGATTAGATTCCTCAGTATTTTTGCCACCTCTGTAGGGGTTTCATTTCTGAGTGCCATGGCCTCTACCTATCCTGAGTGGTACAAATAAGCACAAACAAATACTTTATTGTTTCCAACTGTGGACCTGACCTCAGT